CCACATTTCCAATTCTAGGGGGGTCTGGGGACATTCCCCCCAGAATTTTTTAAACAATTTAACGTTATGATATTGAATCTTGTGCCATTTTAACTACACATACTGTATACAATTCAATGTAATGTATTAAAAGAAGCAAGTTTTAATACATAAGTTGTAGCTATATGTGTCATGAAAAAGTTGTGACTGGCCTTATCACTTCCTACAACCCTGTCTTATGTATTTAAAAATGACCTATAATTCTCTATATTGATAGGATCTGGACTCTTAATTTTTATTTGTTCATATAGAAGCTAACTTTCAAGTTTTATATAACTTTTTATAGTTAACTACAATCTAACAACTTCCTACTCACCATTTTAATTGTTCATGCTGTCTGAAGTTTGTTGTTTTTTTTACTTTCTGGTTAAAATTTTTTCAGAATAATAATATCTGTCTAAAATTCTGTAACTTAGTTTCAACGTAATTGGAAAAAAATCACAAGCTAACATTCAATAAAACTTACTGTAAAAATGTATTTTCCTGTTCTATCAAAGAGAACACAGTATACGGAAGACAAATGACCCAGCATGCGACGATACAGCTGTTGTTTCGCATACATTTTGGATGAAGCGAGATGAATACATTTCATTGGACCACTAGCTTCTCTTGCATAAAGTCCATATACTGCAAAAAGATTTAAATTAATTATCTTTCTTAACTTATAATTACAGTGATCAATGTTTGTTTAATAACATGTGTAAGTTGGTAAAAAACTCAATATATATATATTGTAAAATAATTCAAGTACTTACATCATATTCAATAAACTATAAGAAGTTAAAATAAACAAATAATTGAGAATAGATGTAGCTATGTACTCTGCTAATTGTTATAGTTTATTGACTATGAAGTAAGTACTTCTTTGTTGATTAAATTTAATGTACTTCGACTAATTTAAGTCCTAACCTATAAATTTAAAAAACAACACAAATTTCATAAAATTTAATGAAATACCATTAACAAAATGAAATATTATTTCTCAAAACCTAATGGAATACCTTTCTTACAACGAACATAAGACCCCCAGACAATTAGTTATGTTCTAGTGACTATTGAAGTTCCAAGGACTATGTTTTAAATCCTGTATAATATATTTGTTTTCTTTGTAAAGATATAGTTAGTATAACTTTTAACAAATTAGTAAAATACAAGTTACATATACAAAATACATTCATCACACAAGATAAGGCATTTTCTGAAACCTCTTTCATAACTCTTTGTTTGTTTCTTAAACAGTGAAAAAGTAATATCATACAAGATTATAGTGATACAAGTCTTATAATATTTTCCATCAATGCTTGTTGGTTTGTTTGTTTTAAGTTAAGCACAAAGCTACACAATGGGCTATCTGTGCTCTGCCCACCACGGTTATCGAAACCCTGATTCTAGCATTGTAAGTCCACAGGCATACCGCTGTGCTACTGGGGGCTTCATCAATGCTATTATTATTACTATTCAGTCCACAGTATGCTATACGTTTAGTTACTTCAACTTTTTGAGTTTTGTTTGACACTACATTTTATTCATTGAACATCATGTAAACTCTAAATTTTAAAAGATACTTCTAAACTATGGTTCATTTAATGTTAATTAAAAGAAAGCATAAAATGGATCTTTAACCCTTTCCATATGGGGATAATCAATGTGAATGACCTAGTAACCACAAAGTAACCATCGGAATTTCCATATTATAACTTTTAATAGATTTTGTGTATCTTCGCAAAATTTGGCAAGTTTTCGGTAAACATTACAAGTCCTTTGAACTCAAAAATTAGATAGATTTTTAATTAAATATTTTTATGAAGGATCTGTCTGTGAATACACGGAATCAGAGTGTTGAATACTTCATCTGCAAAGTTATTTTCATGTTCAAATTAAAAATTCTTTTCTTCATCTGAAAATTTTCAAATTTTATTTGAATAACTTCTAAAACCATCTAAATAAATATAAATTTTTTCAGTAAAACTTTAAAATTTATCTGTTATTTTCTCAACCAAAAGTCTCTAAAGACTCAGTCAGTTTAGCTGACCTTCTAACCACCATAAAAAATACAAAATAAATCTAAATTACCTGTTTTTCCTTTCTAGAATGATTGAAAATTATAACATGAAACTACAGTTGTTTACCCCAACTAACTTAAAGCTCATAACATTCTACATCTGTTTATACTTAATTTTATTGTTTTATTGCCCTTTGATCCACGTCTAACTAATAACCCTGCACACAAGTTGTAAATTGCTCGGCCAATGCGTAGCTCACATTACCATATTGAATGACATAATGCACAAGCTGCTCGTAAGCATTCCTTCACGAAGAATTTATATTTTATTTTTTAATTATCTTACCTTCTCTTACATAATGAGTTTCTAATTTTTTACATTTTAGTTACTTTTATAATAATAAATAAAGAATATACATTAAAAACAAAAAAATATAGTACTTACCTTTGATTTCTTGTTTTTTCTGTTGCTGATGAAATTTAAGCCTACTTTTTTTTATATTACTGGTACTACTACACTAAATATTTTTTTAAACCTAGGTAATGCACCAAAGAACACAGAATAATAACATGTACCAAGCAAACAATGTTCTATAACTATTATAATTTATTTGTCTTCCTAACTATGACACAACAGTTTCTCAATCTGAACACAGCAAGAGAAACTTTAAAATTGAAGATGAAATAGACAAAAATCTATACTGAAAACAGCTTTGGCTTTCTACTGTTTATAAATAATGTAGTATAAAATGCCGAGGTAACTATTGGCAATTTGTGAAAGGGAGAATGTGACAAGTGGGGGTGGTAAGTGGGTCTGATTTTATAATTTTTGGTTCCGTAAACAAACAAGATTGAAGACTATAAAAAATTAGACTCTACCTTAGTAGTAATGAATAACTTACATTAAATTTCATACTTTACAGAGGGGTATTAAATTAATTAGGCAAGAGAGAAGACCTAGAGAATAAATGTCATGATTCTGAGGAGTTTTATAAATATTTCCTTATAAAATTAAGAACTTAAAACTTGTATAATATCAAAACTCGATTTATTAACTATGTTTTGATGTAAAATTTATTCGTATACACTGATAATAAAGTAGATTAATTAAATTTTGAATGTAAATCTCTAGAAATTCATGACTTGCACACTTTGACCTACCCATAATGAGAAGGTTAATGATGGTCAGTCTCTTAAGTTTCATTTTTGGATACGAATATTTCAGTAGAGACATCAAGTGAAAAATCTGTCACTTTACACCTATACCTTGGAGATATTCAAAAGCAACTAGTGCCATCTGGGTTTATAAAAACAAATTTCACCATCTTATAATTTTAACAATACCTATTCTACCTTTATAATAATATCCATTGAATTGAATCATGTACTGGTGAAGTACAGGTTATTCCATGTAGGGATGGGAGTTTCATTCAAAAGCTTGTTGTATGCTGTCCACAAATTTTTGGCAGTGGCACCAGGTATTAGCTACCAGTTCTTGTGAAGAGGTGAGTAGTGTTTCCAAAATTGTAAAATTCTGGAAGCCATTAGATCATTGTATTTATATTCTAACAGTTTATGAAAAACTCAAAATCTTAAGAATATATCTTCAAAATGTCCGTGAAAACAATACTTTGGAGACCTGTAAAAAAGACCAGTAAGGTAATAGTGAGCTACCTACAAAGAACAAAAAACGAGAGCAATTTCTTAGCTTACTTTAGAAAATTTCCATACCTATATTAGGAGGGTACAATGATCGTGTATATGAAGGAGGTAAAAACGGGCATCCGTGACGGCGGGCAGTCATCTCTGAAACTCTCCATGTTGCTGTCAAAGCATCTTAAAAACAAATATAGTAGGAAAAAGATTTCAATATGTAAAATAATTAACTACATGCATATAACAGTAACAAAACAATCCTAACAACGTCTCAGTTAATAAAGATAGAGATTTATTTTCGCCATAGTTCCAGTTGTTATGTCATAAATAAAAGTTCTTAGCTCAGAGTAAAAGTAAGATTGAAAAGAACAAAAAAGCAGTGTCAATTGATAATCTCAAAAACGCAAATCAAGTATCTATAAAATTTATGTGTAAGCTTATTAAAACGTTTAATACAAAAATTAAATGAGATATATTTTGTACTAAATGTTAAAAAATAAGTTACGCATATCAAAAGATTTTCAATATTATGTTCACCTCTTAGGCCTATACTTTAACTTATTTGTTCTTTTGGCAAGTCAGTGCTTTTAAAGAATAATTTCATTAAGTTTTCTTTATTAGCTATGAATGAGTGAAATGTTGAAGGAATATTTATAAGCTTAATAGTTCATTAGTCAAAAAATATGTCACCTTCTAATAACAACAAAGAAAAAGCCTGAAAGCTCTGTTATAAAAATTATTTAAATCCATTTTCCATGTTTAACAAGTCAATAAATATTTATAGCTTTTCTTTTTTAAATACAATGTGGTGCAAAAATTTTCAATGGGTCAAAGTTCATATTAGAAGTAACACCAATGACAATTTTGAAATACCAATAAATGTTGGTGAAATGAACAGATTTGAAAATTATGTACTTAAATAAATGAAAAAAAAAAAAAGACTCCAAAAACACTGGTTCATGTTACTAAAGTTAAATTATTTACTAGTTTTGGTTTGTTGTGAATTTCCTACAAAGCTACACGAGGGCTATCTATTTAGCAGTGACAGACAAAAGGGAAGGCAGCTAGTCATCACCACCCACCATCAACTCTTGGGCTACTCTTTTATCAACAAATAGTGGGATTGACCGTCACGTTATAGTGTCCCCACAGCTGGTGGGATGGGGATTCGAACCAATAACCCTCAAATTGAGAGTCAAACACTCTAACCACCTGGCCATGCCAATATATGTTATATTGAGAAGAGATTAATAGTTTTACCTATTAAGAAACATAGTCTATATTCTGTTACGTAAAAGTTAAAGCCACTTTATCCCTTAGAATCACTATTCTCGCAATTAAATCTCATTGTATAAAATGGAATACTTTTACTTCCCCATACAGTGTTATTTCCTGCTTCTCCCACTTGTTCCATAAGTGAGGTTGTTATTTACTATTGGAAAATCTTAAGTTAATGTATGGAAAGGTTACCAATCGCATTGTTGGAAATGTATTCTCTTAAATGTACATTTTACATTCCTCTTTTGTAATTTTTCACAAAATATTTCATGTATAAAACAAAAAGAGGTAGCTTACTCTGTTTTGTCCTTAACAAAGACTGTCTGCCAGCCCCTAAAAGGGTTTGAACACCTGGAACACTGGACGGTACCTCTTTGTCTAACACTGGTCCAAGTCGAGAACATATTTTCAGGAGATGGTCATGTGATATATGAGGATAACTTTGTTCCTAGACAAATGTTTTTGTGTTATAACAATATTAATACATAAACAAAGGTACAACATCTTTCAAAAATAGTTCTACTAATGACTAATGAGAAAAACTTTTGACAATGTGTTTTCCTTTGTTTGAAAATATTAGAAATTTATGTATTTTAAGACATATTTTTCAAAAACTGAGGTTTTTCCAAAATTTTAATTTGAAAAACATTAAATTTGATTCATTGTTTTCAGATAGATCAATTACATTAAGAAAATCACTTTTTTATGAACTGGAGAAAGCCTAATTAATTGGATTGTAGGATGGTAATGGGAGAAAACAAAACATCATTATTAATGTTTTGTAGTCAAAATGAACTCATGTTACTAGTAGAGTGCTTGAAGGTTCAGTACTTGGGATTTTGCCTTTTCATATATAGAGTAGTGATATCAATAGGGGTAAAATTAGTTGATGACTTTCAACTCTTGGGCAATTCTAGCTTTATTGTACATTTTGAGATATTACAGAATGACTCGGATTAATTGGCAAGTTGGACAAACAATCTTTCATTATCATAAGTGTAAGGTAATTAATGCATTTGGATTATCATAATTTTGATAAGACATTTAATACAGATAGGAACCTACTCAATAATATGACTGAAGAAAAAAATCTTTGCCTGACAGTGGATAAGTCATTCAAATCATTGAGGCAGTGCACTGTTGCTAATAGTATAGCTAATAGAATTTAAAGACACATTTATAAACATGTTATTTTTAAGTTAAAAGATGAAGTTATCTCTATACAAATACCTAGTTAAACCTCATTTTAAATAATGTACAGTTTTGGCCTCATTATTTATGAAAGTATATTGACTTAATGGAAATGGTTTAAAAGAAGTGTCACGTCTCCATTCGTCAGTTAATTTTCCGTAAATTCATTCCGACGAAACTTTAGCGACACAAGTCCTTTCTTAAATAAAACTGGTTTATTCTTTCTGAATATAACTTTGCGATACACTTAATTTCAACAGTCGCGCTATAATTCTCAACGAACGTCTCACGTGCTCGACTTCAACAATACTCAGTTCAATTACACACTCTCTGACTGCAGTTCAATTACTCATTGTCCCCTCACGTTGTGACCGTCGTATATACCAGACTACCCCCAATCTAGTAGTCTCCCGATAATTCACGAAGGAACAGGATATTTCTAGAAGGAGGTGGCGTGATACTAGTCACGTGACCTCGCTGACGCAACAGAAGGTTACTAAGTTTATTACTGGGATGAAAGAGTTATTTTACAGGGATAACTTAAGATCTCTTAACTTCTTTTTTCTTGTAAAAAAAAAGGTAAGATTTCATGTGCTGAAGTTTATAAGATTATCTAAGGGATCAATAGGATAAAGGCCTCCGATTTCTTTGTGCGATATTCTGAAGGTAATTGGGCAAGAGGACACAAGTTTTAAGATTTGGAAAGAACAAGCTAGGCTCTTGTTAAGCTAGTTTTATTTTTCTAACAGGGTTTGTTTGTTTGTTGTTTTGAATTTTGCACAAAGCTACACAAGAGCTATCTGCGCTAGCCATCCCTAATTTAGCAGTGTATGACTAGAGGGAAAGCAGCTAGTCATCAACACCCACTGCCAACTCTTGGGCTACTCTTTTACCAACGAATAGTGGGATTGACTGTCACATTATAATGCCCCCCAAGGCTGAAAGGGCAAGCATGTTTGGTGTGGCGGGGATTCGAACCCGCAGATTGCGAGTCGATCGCCCTAACCACCTGGCCATGCTGGGCCTCTAACAGGGTAACTGACTTATGGAATGTGTTTCCATCAGCAGTAATGGAGTTTGGCATTTTACAAACTTTAAGAGGAGAATCAATAATTTCTTGAACAGTTAAAAACATAGGTTTAAACTTAAATGGGTTTTCTTAACTGTGGATGTTCAAGGACAGCTCTGAAGGACTAAATCGGTGCTTTATAATTGTTTTTTATGGCGACACACTATGTTCGTACCAAAAATAATTTGGCACCACAGAGACAAGTACAAACTAGTATAAATTGGTGCATCAGAGCTCCCAACTTTATCTTCCGTTACACAAGGTTGTGTTGGCAAACTTTGTGTGTGTCACATGCCCCAAAAAAAATATAAAACATTAAATAATTTTTTGCGTGCCACAGTGGCAAGCAAATTTAAAAATATTTTATATTACTGAAAGACACCCACTTTTGAAAACACTGGATTAAATGGTTCCTTATTGGTCCATATATTATGTTACAATTTATCTACTTTTGCTAATTTTTCCTTTAATATTAACCTTAATAAAAAAATATGAATTTAACTAGAGAAATATAGCATTATGATAATATATTTAGGTTTTATTAGGTTTAACACTAGTAATTGTGATATTCTGTAAATTATTTAACACGTGTGAAGGCTATTCAAAACTTTTACCATCTAAATGTTATTATTACAGCTCAACTGAGAATAATAAATCATGGTTCAAAAGAAAATTCCAGGACCCATACTCAAAGTTCCATGGCTCTCAAATTCATCCACATTAGATTAAACATGCATAAATTATTTAGCCAATTGTTTCTTGTAACAAGTTTTTTTTATTGAAACTGAAATTGCTGGACTTTTCCAGTACCATGATCTGAAAATAACCATTTTTCCAGGATTTTTATTACTTAAGTTTTTTAAGAAGTAATTTTTCATGATTTTCCAGGATTTCAAGAACCTGTGCAAATCCTGCGAGATAATTCCTAGAAGTTAGAATAATGTAAAAATAAAAAACACTTGCCTATTTCTAAAAAGAATTTACCAATACATTAGTGAATGATGATAACCAGGATTATTTTGAAATAAATTATGTTTGATGGATCAATGAGGCACAATAATATCCTAGCAATTTATATTAGTTAACTGTTAATCTTGATAAACCAAAAAGTTTTAATTTAACAGACCAAAACATATTACTCTGCACCAGGGTTGGGGAAAGACCATTGCTCATCATAAACAGGATGATATTGCCCCCACTTTTAGTAGCATGAACTCGGACAAGCCATGTGCTTCTCAAACAATAAACAAGATGAGCAATAAAAAACAAATAATATTAAAAATTATCAAATACCTATGTGATACAGAACTGTAATTTGCCTTGTGGTATTACCAGCATAACTTGTCTGAAATCTTTGCCAAGGGAAGAGACACACCACATCAGTTAAAAAAAAAAAAAAAGAGTATTTAAGTTTGCAGATTATTATATAAAGAATTTTTAAATGGCTGAGCAATTAGTGGAATTTGATAATTAATTGTAGGGTTCATTAATCATTTACATTCAACTACTCAATTATCCTCACGAGACTTGAATAATTGGAATATTTAATATTAGTAATTGGAAACATTAATTTCAATTAGCTGATTATTTTCATGAGTCATAACACCAATTTATTAAGCTGAACCACCTTGAATTAATTAAAACTGATAATAAGAAATCATAATGGTAATATTTGGATTACTTAGATCAGTGGTTCCCAGACTTTTGGTAATCATGGACCAGTAAAATTCCAAAAATATATATTGGGGACAGACATTCCAAGTAAAATATCTGTTAGTTACACAAGTAAAATAATATGATACTTACAAAAAACAATTTATTTGAAAACAAAAAAGAAAAGGTAGACTTAGGTGACTTTTAGTCATCAAATATTGAAAGAAACGTATGTAAATGTCAATGCTTTCAACAGTCAAAACATGTTTCAGACTGGTATAAATTAAGTCAAGGACCAGCGTTTAGGAAACACTAACTTAGATAGTTGGATTGATCAAAAACCTTAATAATTAGATATGCTATCTTTGATTAATTGATTATTTTAAATGATACTAATTGATGCTCATTAGTAATTAACTATATTAATTAACCAAGTTAATTTTCCAGCTCTAGTTACAATACAGTATTGTCAATTTCATTCATCTGATGACATTTCTGGGCAATATAAATGCAAGAATGAACCAAATAAATCATGGTCTGAGCCACTATAAGATTGGTCCTACACTTTTGTAGTCCTTCCTTAAATAGATGTTTGTTTTTAATGAAAGAGACATACTTGACATTTTAACAGTAAATATGAAAATTATGAAGAAAACAGTTTTTTTTTATTATTACAAATATTTAATACAATAATACTAAAAAAACATATTCAAACTAAGATATAGAATTTGATTTCTTTCCTAGATGTAACCATTATTTGACTCTCTTTTAAAACTCAATGCAAGATACATTCATTACTAAGAACTGAATATTACTGCTCGTATCCTGAAGTATTAGAATTTGGTTTAGCAGATTATTTATATGTTGAGCCAGTAACTGATTTACCAATTTCTATTTAGCATGTGTGTAAGCTGTGAAAGTGCTTCGAATTAATTAAAAATACTAAGAAATAGAGTATTTTGAACCTGGTGGTCCTTTTAATATTTTTGATATATAAACACATACCTAATATTTTTGTATTCTAATCTTTTGACCCTTACAAATTCAATAAATCTTAACTTTTATTTTATTACAAGTTACAGCTTTTACAATAAGAAGGGTTTGTTTTTATTCATCAAATGTGGATGCTAACAGAAATAGCAACAGTATCAGATCTTGAGAAGAACAAGGTTTACAACAGCTGACAAGCTAACCCTAATCAATTACCAAAATGAAATTTTTTTTCAGTCAAGCAAATTGTCTCTTACAGTTTCTTTTATAGAAACTGAAATTTTAATTTTCTTTAGTTTTTTACCAATTGTTAATAGCAATGATAACTGAAATCTCTTACAACTTTAAGAAATATATTTTTAGGGAAAGATTCCAGTTTTGAGTGACATTTTGTTTACCATACTATGCTAGTATACTACTATTAATAAATGACACTTCTTTCCACATCATTTATTTACAACTTACATTTTATTACAAATAAAATACAATATAAATGTAATTATAATTAACCCAAAAGCTTTTAGGTCATCGGGGTTAAAAACATCAATTATTAGCATTATTTAAATTAAAAACACCAACAATTCATTTTATTACCTTTAAAAAGTTTATATATAAATTTTTATACTTCATCAAAAATTCTCTTACAAGTACCTTCAATTTAGTTACATTATTTTCATTTTTTATCATAAATGGTAAATATTAAATATTTTTGGTGCTAACTAACAAAAATTTTTACAGAATCTCTTCTTCAAATATCAGAATTTTATATTTTAATCCTCATATTGTATTAAGATAAACACTTTTTTATTTGTAAGTAATAACTTTTATTTTTTATAAACAATATAAAATATAACTGATTCCTTTTTATAATTATCAAATTAATTTTTTACAATATTATTATGTAAAGAAATAATTGGCTTTAGTGTAGTTGGACAAGTTCCTCCCCAAGTAAAAATTTGATACTGAAAAATAAAGAACTCTTAACACTTGGGCACTTAAAAATAATTTTTCAAATAATAGATTTTGATGGGCATAAATCTTACATGTTTTTGCCAGATCCTTAAAATTCTGTTTCAGCTTAAATTTCTATCATTTTGTAGGGCTAAATATTTTATAACATCCATGCTTTCAATTTCCAAGTATTTACTATTATTATTATCATTTATACACTCATTATTATGAATATACAGCTTAAAACATTTCCATTTGTAATCATTTTATTTTTTAATTAAAAAATACATATATTTTGTGTTAGTTATGTTAATAGAGAGTATTTTTAAAAAAACAATTTCCTACTGTTTATAAGTCATTTTTAATTTGAACTTTATATTCTTTTGTGTTAGAAGAGCTAAATGTTAATTCTCTATCATCAGCAAAGTAATTTAAGAATTAAAATTTATATAACATAATCATTTATGTACATTATTAAAAATGAGTCCAAGTACAGAACTCTGTGGAACACTATGTTCCATAATATTCAGATCATTAAAGTTTGTTTTTTTTATAATATGTGGTATTTTAGTTAAATAAGATTTAAATCTATTTACAATTAAAAGAAACACAATGTTAAAATCTTACACAATAATTAGTTATTAAAAACAGGGACTGAAGATGCTGTCACAGACACTGAAATATATGTAGAGTCATTTTAGGGCAAGTAAGTAAATGTTCTACACAAGTGTCGTTTCTAAATTATTTAAGACTTAAATCATTTTAATGCATTGCTCTTATACCGAGAATTTACATTAAATTTAATAATATTTAATATGATACTTTATCAAATGCCTTCTCTAGAACCTAAAAATATTATTTATATTAAAAGTTTTATATAGTTCAGCATCAAGTTGTTCTATAATTTTTTCTGCTATATCTATAAAACAGTTATTAAAATTATTTGCTAAATTAATAACCACTCAATTTTTATTTCTTCTGTCATCATATGCACAATCAGGTAATATTACTTCATTACCTTCTTTATCAATTAGCCTATTAACAAAATTCCATAGTTTTCCATATCCCTATCCCATTTCCAAAACTCATTTTAACCCTACGTGCATGAGTGGGAATCAAAGAGCACCAGCACCTTTTATACATGTTATTTTAGCCTGCATTTAACAACAGTTTGTGGTATAGAAAAAATCAGATATAATATACATGGATAGCGAAAAAACTGTAGATATGCATTTCAGAAGTTCTATGGGTTATGCAAATACAATATGCAGAGTATATGGTGGACAAAAGTGTATTTATTCTTAATATGAACATCATGCACCCCAACTTATCAGAGACAGACTGATGTCATCAATTCAAAGACATATCCTGATCACAAATACCTCAGTAATGCACCTGATTTTTTGGGTACAACAGACTTGTGCATTTTTCTTAAAGCTTGCCATATTTCATGTAAATACACTAAGTAAGTTCCAAATTGTAGTCGATATTCCTTCTCCAATAAGGGGGTCGATCCAAGGGACCGAGACCGTGCACAGGTTAATAGTATTCATTTCTTCCTATTCTTCAGTTTTCACTTATTTTATGTCTATAATGTTTAAAATTATCTTAATAATATTTATTAAGAGATAGTTTTATGCTTTTTATACATTACATCTCTAACTTTTATCAGTTGTATTATTTCATTAGTGATCTATGGATTCTTAAATTTGTTTATTAAGCTAATATTTCTATAAATATTTCATATGCATTATTAATATCTGTTAAAATAAATGGTTTTACTTAGTTTGTTTTAAAATTTGGTAATAATGTTTTTGATAAGTTATTTCTCTCTCTATATATATATATATTATAGTTTCCATCAATATATATTTTTAATGTTATACGTTAATGATTTATTATTTGTACTTTTATAACTGAAACATAAATTTTGTTCTCTAAGTTATCTTACAAATGCATGTCCTAAATATGAAACTGATTGGTTTACCTCTTAAGTTACTTCATTTATTATATATGATTTAAAACCAAACAGTCATTAAAGCCACATAATAATTTACATAATGCGTTTCATGTAACAAATCAATGTTTACATCACTAACATGGATTACGTGTTTATTTTTATTATCTGCTGATACAATTTCTAAGTCACTTAAGAATTGATAAATTGTAAACCTGTGTGATCTATAACTAGCCACTAAAATTTCTACTGTTGACACTTCAGTGTGGTCTCAACATAAGCCATTACTCCCTTAAATATATCATATTGTCTACAGTAATTTATTAAAGAATTTATAATGCTTACTCAGTTAATTAATCACATGATACTGTTAGTGTTACTGATAGAATTGATGTAATGACCTATTTATTCTTTGACTCTGAGCTACTGATTATAAGAAATTTCATAAAACAAAAATCTCTTTAAACACATATCCTAAAGTATGACGATATGTGTAATTATAATGGTTAAGTGATGGAGTCTGAATTAAATTCATCTTTTAGTATTTGCAAGTAATGGCAATTTTAATATTTATTTATTTAATGTTTTCTACTGATACGCGTTGTTATTTGAAAGTCCGTTAGATGGCAGGACTAACACGCATGCTCAAATGAACCAACCAATCAGTGAACTCATAGCGTCACAATTTCACATTCGTACCTCTACGCTAACAGTGAACTGAGTCATAAAGTAGGTTAAGCATAAACTAATTTTTAATTTTTTACTTTTAACTCAACTTTTTAATACAGAAGGCATCAAAAACGTTTTTTGTATAAAAAACTAAACAGGGATAATAAAAATTATCATACATCATGTTACAATGCATATAACAAAATAAGTAACATTACTTAACAGTTATATATTTAAAACAATTATGATATTGAAACCTAATTTAAGTCACTTACCAAATCTTCAAAACTTCTTTGATGATAGTTTCCAAGCCAATCTATACGACAAGGCATAAGCTAAGGAAAAAAATTTAAATTTTCGCTTTCAACACTGAATAACACAAAAACTACTATAACTACTACGTGAGTCTACGTCATATTATCTTAAGCACGTGATTACTGGCAATGTTTTGAATTCAAGAGAGACCACGTGGAAACCACGAGGAAAGAGTGTATAGAGAGAGAGAGAGAGCTGTGCCTATGACTGGTAAACGCTTACCTGGTATTCCTCGATCTCTTGCCGAAGAATCTGTAAAAGATAAAAAATCCAGTCAGTGTAGTTCGACTTTTATAAAGACAGCTAAGCACCTAAAGAAATTATTCTTACCTCTGCACTTTTTCTGCATGGTCCAGTGTTCAGAAATTTTGCGATCAGATAATACAGTTCTGAAAAGACACAAAATCAACGAATTAGAGAGCGTACCAATTGGTAACACTACGAGTGCATTTCGAGTCAACTGCACAGCCTCCACAATATCAAGGATTTTTGCCCACCTGCTTCAAGAGATGACGTTTTCTTTGTTTTCTTAGTTAACCCGGACATCTCTTTTCATATATCCTTACTTTATCTTATTTCTTTTTCATTCAAATAAGCCGATATTCATCGTACTTTGCCTAAACCTCACGGTCAGTCCTACTGCAAAATCTTCATGAATAGGCACTTAGCCAACGACATACATGGCGAACTGGCGGTCTCAGTACTTGCAATTGGACTGTAATAAAAACTAGTTCCCAGCGCCCTGATATCGTGTGAAGTTTGTACTGGATAAATATTAATAACTTGATGAATTGAAAAGCATTTATCATAAACTAAGTTGTAAAACAATGTTTCACCTGAGAATTGTATGAATAATAGTTATTTAATATACAAAGAATGGTGAGCGCATTAACACAAAAGTATAAGCTTGTTTAGATGTTCTGAGCATGCGTGAGTTGTATGCATATGTGGCCTAGCCTTAAAACAGACTAATCGTAGTTTCTTCTGTTGAGCAAGATCGTAGTGACATTATACCAAATGGTTATTCGACAACTTACCCCTGACGTAACTTGTGTAAAGGGTATTTAAAATTTTAACTTCACTTCAGATTTTAGAAGGGGTGTTAATGAAACAGGTAATTTTTGATCTTTCGTTTTTGAAGTAACAGAATTAAGATGTTCATATGATAGAACTTGGAGCATTTAAAAAATACAATTAATACATATGTTATTCACATTCATTAAATTAATTTTCTTAAACTTATAGTTTTGTAAATATAACATTATAAGACCTAAGTCAAGGGCCTAACTAACTAGTATAGTGTTACACTGATAACCTTAATCTAAATCTAATCATGTTTATTTCTTTAAATTTGAATTACTAAAAGTCAAGTTATGAAAAACAAATTTTCCTAAGTGTTTGATTCTCTAATACATGCAGCTAGGAATACCCAAAAGTTTAATATCATAAGCAAACTTATTATGCACCTATACTATAATATATACTACTAATATAGTATCAGTATCTTTAATGTAAGTAAGAAAAAGCTGAAACAATGACATATTCCACCAGTAACAAAGGTGCAGTTTGACTGGACTCCATTAATAATAGTTTCCCATCCATCCACCTACAATCAAATAAAATAATATTTGAACCAGGACAGGGGGAACTTTGACCCATCATGGCTGCCCCATTAATTTCATGAAACATTTATCTTCCTGCATACAGCAGTGATTTTTTTTTAAGTGTACATCAAGCCTTATATTGAAAATGTCATATCCTGTTATATCTACCATATCTGAAGGTAATCTATTTGAAAAATAAAATAGCATATTTGAAAATTACCTCAACCCTGATAAATCTTAACTCTGTGCCTTGTGGGCCTACCACTTTTATCTTTAAACACACACACACACAAAGTGATTCATCAATCTTGTCTATTCCTTTTACAATTTGGAACACTTCAATCAGATTTCTTTTAACTATTGATTTCACAAGAGAATAATTTTAAGGACCTGCCCTTGTATAACAGACCATTTATCTCAAGAATAATCCTAGTAGCCTTCCTTCGAACCCTTTCCAACAGTTTTGTGTCTTTCTTATGGTAAGGAAGCCAAGACTGAATGCAATACTTCAAATAAGGCCTAACTGGAGATCTGTACCAAGAAATAATAACTTCCTATCACTTGTGTTCAATAGTACTGTAAACATAACCCAAAATTCTGTTTACTTTCCTACTGGCAATGGTATGCTGCCTGGAAGGTTTAAGAGACCACAACACTAAAATCTTTTTTTTTCCATAACACTGTTGAGTTAATTCCCATCAAGGTGGTGATTATATTTTAAACTAGATGTACTTCTGCAGGGTTCCCAAAAGTGTTCTGTTTCAAGAGTAAATAAAGCCAAATTTAAGAATAACAAATATTTTATTTCTTGCTTCTCGAAGTTCATGTATCATGTTGTGTTTTAGCGTACAGAGTGTATAATTCTTCTCATGGTTCCTGGCATGCACAAGTTTTACTCACATCATGACAGTACAAATTGCAACGTTAAGCGTCCCTTATGTGATGCCATTTTAGTGTCTACTGACTGACTGACAGACAACACACTACTGTATAGTGGCATGAGTGGTTAAAATAGGTGACCCCTCCAATTCACAAGACGATTCAAATCTCTTTGTAAAACAACATCCTCCTCACAGCTAATTGGGCCCAAAACATTTATATTGGAAAACTTGACCAGTTTCTTGACCATTGCTCTATCAATATTGTAAACATATATAAAGGAGTAAGGGTCTTAACACAGAACCCTGAGGTAGCCCACTTTCAACTCCATCTAATTTCACTGAATTCCATTCGTTGAAACTGTTCAATCTCTGTTAAATATTTATGGTAGTTCTAAATTTATATATTAACTCAATAATACAAGATAACCGTAGATATAATTAAGATTAAAACATTAAACATTCTTATGAAACTTATAACCACAGGTTTACTGACATGAAGTGTAGAAGGAATAGAATGTAGCCTAAAAAAAAATCGTGCGAATACCAATCGCTACTTAAATGAACACAGCTTAACAATTTGTGAAATGTGAATATACTTGTAAGCAATAATATATTTTTACAGTCTAGTCCAGAGGTTCACAAGCTGTAGACCTTGAAATAACATTATGATACAAGTAATTTTATGTATTTTGTGAGTAACTCGTAGATAGGAAAAACTTTTCTTTGTTTCCAAGTGTAATAATTTCTGTTATATCTATGCTCATCAGTGACTGTTGTTTTTCATTATTTCATTAATTGTATAAACACAACGAAAGTATAAACAAATCATTACATTACTGTTCCAAATAAATGAGAAGTTACCAATTAAAATATGTTTACTCACCACTGTTCACAGTGTATATAACCTAGTATTCCAGGGGTCTCGCTTCAATGTAATTATTGAACTGTTTCTCAATAACCACATCAGTGTGACTGATACCACATCTCGTCGAGAAAAAGTGGTTGGAACTGCTTTTTTAGGAGAAATCACACAGGGCTCGTCTTCTATAGTTTATTTGTGTTCGTGGAGCTGAACATTCAAGACATCCTCATTATAACTTCTAATAGCTAGTGCTAATGGTTGTTTAACCTACTACAATTTCTCCTGACTTTAATTTCAAAAGTGTAAAAAAAATTAAAATACAGTTGTGATAGTTTTAAATGTTTAATTCCGTAAACACTAGCAAGTATGATGATTTGTCTTGGAATTGAATAAACATGGTAGGAAAAACCTACTTTGTACAGTTGTACAGGAAATTTTGTAGATTTGAACAAACTGTACTTAATTAAAAAAACACCTGTGTAGCACCTGATGTCTTTTACAGGCTATCGAGATAGAATTTTTTTTCTGTTGAAAAATGGAAACATTTGAATGGGTGTGTCTTTTACGGGTTATTGCTATGCACATTTCTTTTAATGAGAAATGGAAATACATGAATATTGTGTCTTTAACGGGCTATCAATACACAACTTTCTTCTGTGGTTTGTTTTTCTTTGAAAAAGAAATTTGATGTTATAACAAGATATCGTTTAGAAAATAATTTTGTAGATTTTACAATTCTTACCAAAAAACCTCGCTGTATAAGATTAATCTGGTCATTCTTAAAAAAATGAAAACATAAACGTGGTGGCTAAAGAACATTAGGCTGAAAATAAAAATAGGAGAGGATATATGATAGGTTTTATGGTAATTTTCTAAGCTTCTACCACCTTTTTGTCTCTGTTATTAACCATATAATACCATAAATATCAGTATCTTGTCAGATGTTCTGACTTTACTAGCTTTGTTGAACTAACTGGTGTGGTAGCATGTCTAGATAATCCTTGTGGTTGAGGCGACTCTGAAACTGATAACGTATGTTCGAGGTATTCCAAATATAATTTTATTTAAAAATTACTATGAATGGCATCGATAGTCACCCCAAGATAATAATAAAGCTTAGGAGATTTGTATTGTAGACCCCCAAATGTAGGGCTAATCTTGGACCCTGCTGGGCTGCTACCATTCTTCAGACTGCTAGCCTCTGGAGGCTGTGTCAAGTGCTTTACAAGTTTGTCGAGAGAACCTGCTATTAAAAAATCTGAATCTGAGCTTTAATATTCATTTCCTACTTTCAAACTTTATTCTATCACTCAAAATGACCATCCCTAGCTTTTAATTATTTTAAACACTTGAATCAAGTGCCGATAGTCAGTAGTGTCTGAAGCACTAAACAGTTGAGGTGGGAGTGTAAACCACAGATTTTTTCAAATGGATGCAAACATTTTACTAATCAGTGATAAAAAAGTATTAGAATAATAGCCTAGTCAAAAACTTCCAATAACAAACAATGAAAATTATAATAAAAATGTTGTACTTCTACAAATTTTTATGATGTAAAGCCAAATAGGTATCCATGTTCATGACTGGATCTTTGCTGAATTATGTTTGCCATTTGTTGTTGTTGTTCATAAACAGACTTCCTTAAATATGCAAGAATTAATCATGAAACATAGCATATACATTCGTGTAAGTAAACTAGATAACTATACGTCTCTCTTCATAGTTTTCACACATCTACTTAAAATATCTCTTGGGTTGATAATAGCAGTAACGTCCTGTTCATAATCCATAACTAATAAATAGTTCAAATCTATTGCCTGTCATAGTTCATTGGAGTCTTGCCTGTCATAGTTCATCAGAGTCTTGCCTGTCATAGTTCATCAGAGTCTTGCCTGTCATAGTTCATCAGAGTCTTGCCTGTCATAGTTCATCAGAGTCTTGCCTGTCATAGTTCATCAGAGTCTTACCTGTCATAGTTCATCAGAGTCTTGCCTGTCATAGTTTCATTGTACTTGAGACTCTTTCGCCTTCAGCTGAAGTGACTGGGAGGTTCACAAGAACGAACAGATCTAAGTTAATTCATTTAAGGCCTGCTGGAGAATCAATAAATAGAGAATAAACATTTAATAAGTTAGAAAAAGCTAGGCAGTATAGAATATAACAGGATAAATAACCGTGAATCTTTTTTTTTTTTTTGCTTAATTGTTTCACATTTTATTTGGTGAACCAAACACCAGATAATTAGGTCAATTTTGGAGCTTGTCTCATGGTTAATGTTTAATTTTTCAAAAACTGAACTAGTTTCTTATGAACAGTATTGTGGGCTAAATAACAAAATATTCAAAACTGTAAGTAACAAAAAAATTGCAAAGTTTGTTTTTACCAGTTTTGTGTTATCAATAAAAAAATTCCTTATTATTCAGTAAAAGTTAGAGCTTGCTTCTCGATTCTAGGTGCCCCCCCAACGTAGCACAGCGGTATGTCAAGCGGACTTACAATACTAGAAACCGGGTTTCGATACCCCGTAGTGGGC